AAGGATTACACGCCATATGTAATCCCAGCACTTTGCTAGGCTGAGGCAGGTGGATCACCTGAGGTCCGGAGTTTGAGACCAGCCTGGCTAACATGGTGAAACTCCATCTCTACTAAAAACACAAAAATTAACTGGGTGGTCCAAGCTACCTGGGGGGTGGGGCATGATAATTGCTTGAACCCAGGAGGCAGAGGTTGCAGTGAGCTGAAATTGTACCACTGCACTCCAGCCTGGGTGACAAAGCGAGATTCCGTCTCAAAAAAATTAAAAAATAAGATTAATGGTGGTAACTAGAGCTAAACATCTAAACATTTGAGTAGTCTTTGCACTTTTAGGATGGATTTAACCAAGTGTTCTTAAAGCAAATTTATTTTAAAGAGGAACTTAAAGGATAGAGGTGGGGATAGCATGCCAGATGGGTTACAGGTAGGGTTTTCAAAGTATAAAATAATAGTATAAAAACTCAGATAAAATGGGAAAAGATAAAAGAAAAATAAAATTATTGAATAGGAATAGCCTCTAACCAGAAGAAACCCATACTTTTTTTTCTTTTTTAATACTTTTAAGTTCTGGGATACGTGTGCAGAGCATGCAAGTTTTTTACATAGGTATACACATGTCATGGTGGTTTGCTGCACCCATTAACCCAACACCTACATTAGGTATTTCTCCTAATGCTATCCTACCCCTAGCCCCGCCACACCCCAACAGGCCCCGGTGTGTGATGTTCCCTTCGATGTGTCCATGTGTTCTCATTGTTCAACTCCCAGTATGAGTAAGAACATGCAGTGTTTTGTTTTCTGTTCCTGTGTTAAACATGAACGCATCCTTTTTTTATGGCTGCATAGTATTCCACGGTGTATATTTGTCACATTTTCTTTATCCAGTCTATCATTCATGGTCATTTGGGTTGGTTCCATGTCTTTGCTATTGTGAATAGTGCTGTGATAAACATACGTGTGCATGTGTCTTTATAGTAGAATGATTTGTAATCCTTTGGGTATAGACCCGGTAATGAGGTTGCTGGGTGAAATGGTATTTCTGGTTCTAGATCCTTGAGGAATCACCACACTGTCTTCCACAGTTAGTCCACAGTGGTTGGACTAATTTACACTCCCACCAACAGTGTAAAAGCATTCCTATTTCTCCACATCCTCTCCAGCATCCGTTGAGAAATCCATACTTTAAAAAAAATAAATAAATAAGATTAAAACTTTTGGTTGCCAATTAAGGTCTTAGTTCTCTCATAATGACTTTATGATTTAAAAAAAGTGACATATGGATATCTTTGAAGTGTCTTAAAGATGTTTTTATAATAGGAAGTCAATTACGTTGGCCTTCAAAATTTTTATTAACAAGCAAATTGGAGTACAATCTTGGTCGAACTGGCTTGGAAATTCTTATAACTCAGCTCCTCAAAAGTATCAGCTGATTGTGTTGCATTTAGATTCATTCCCTTTCAAAAGCTGCTTAGGAAACAAATTAGTGCTCAGAGCTGTTTACACTTGTAAATGCAGTTAAAATTGAAAAGTCAATTGGGAAACTCACTGGGATCTCTTGATAATAGCAATGGTTGTTTCTGCTATAATAACTTGAACTGATGAGGCAGAAAAAACAAATCACGCCAAGAGTTTATAAAATGATATGTGTATTACTGATGCAAATTAAGTGAGCTACTCACATCGTTTTCTAGATTAAAAAGTAGTTTTTTTCAAGTATATGAAGTAGTCAGTGTATTATGGAAGTTTTTGTTTCCTCTGCTACTGCTGCACAGGATATTTTAAAATATGTTTATAAAACAAATGTTTCGAATTGAACTTTAAAACTCAGTCTTTAACTCAGTTTTTAAATTTCAGTATGACTGATGTAACTGAATAAATTAGAGGTACCTATCTAGATGAATGAGATACAGTTAACATAAAACCGTCGTCTTGTATATTTTCTGTATGTAAATTTCTATTTAAAAAATACATAATCGAGTAGAAATTCATGATTTTCTTTGGAAGATTGAATGATGCCACAGGAATGCCATTTCTGTATCAGTGCCACTGATATGTTCTTTAGACTAATAGCCCATTAGGCTAAATATAGGAGTAACTTCACTGAAAGATGCCTTTAATTACCCTCTGAGCAGCCTGGCAGAACTGCAAATTCTGGTTTCCTTGCTAGGAGGGACCTTGAGTGATAATTGGTTTGTTTTTGGTGTTCTAAAATATATTTTTAATTTTCTTTTATGTATTTAACTACTTTTGAGTACCCACTATGTGCCAGGCATTTTGACACTGAGAATATATGAGTAAGAGATATGGTCTGTATTTTTCACAGAACCTACATTTTGTCAGGAATTACAGGCCAGGAAAGAGGCAATTGTAAAATCTAGTGTGATAAACTAACCCAGATGTTTGGGTTAAACAAGGCTTCTTAGGGGAAATGAGAAACTAGACAGGAGATGATGATGATCATGACCCACATTTGTAGTGGGAGTGGTGCTGGAGTGAAGCAGAAGGATTTCAGATGTTGTAGGTGCTAGATTTTTTGTGGGGGGCGGGGGAATCTGTTAAGACAGCAAAACCTATGGGATTGTAGGGAGTGAAGAGCTTTCAAGGAGGACACCCAGGTTTCTTCCTTGAGCAGTTGGTGATGCCAGACTCAGTAAGAGGATTGGCTTTGGAGTTGCATGGTGAGAGAGGAAGAGGAGTTAATGTTCAGTATGGTGAGTTCAAGGAGCCAATAGGTACATCTAAGCAGAAATTATATTACATGAATCATTAAGAAGAAACAGTAGATAAAAAAACTTTAAAAGTCCATATTATTCTTCAAATAGGTATCTATTATAATGACCTGTTGTTGAAGCTCTAGAGTACATCAGAAAATTAGTTATTTAATGTAATTTTTCATCTTGTTTTGGAGTTTACTAAAAACCCCACAAAATTTAACAATAAATATTACTTTCCATAGCCTAGTTCACAGCTTTTATTATATGCTAAAGAATTTCATTTCATATAAACTGGAGGAGAAACTTACAAATTACTATATTTACATTCAGCTAAATCATTGCTACATAGAGCTGAGGCAGTGCACTGAGAATGAGACCATTTACTGTTCTGAGGGATTAGCTAACCATCTGTTGGCAACAAGACCTAAAATAGTTTGCAGATAGTAGGGGAGCTCTTTAATAAATGTTCCAGTTACTAATAGGCAAGCTTCAGGTTCTCTGTGCATACCAGTGTTTCCCAGAAAGCTAAGCATTGGAATCAGATAGCAGAATGGAACCATTTTTCCTTTCGTGTATAACTTGTGATAACTACCGTTTTTATCTTATTATCTAAAATGCATAATAATACAACTTTTAATAAAGCAGGGCTTGTGAACTTCCTTTTTATGTCAGTTTACCCATTTTTGAAGATGTATACTTTATTATTAAAGCTTTGAGATTTATAATGTATGTGTTCTAATGTTGCTGGAAATTTGACCTAATCAGATAATAACTGGTAGAAATGTATACATGATCACAATTGCAGTACAAGGAGCAACGTGATAAATAAAATGTGTATTCTATTTAAGTTTCTAGCAATTTCTGAGCTCATTGGAAGAAACAAGGCTCAGATATTTGAGTTTACCTCATGAGAGCTGTTGTTTACATGTGCTTATAATACGAATGTGTTTTGGAGGTGTGTTCTCACAGCTTACAGTAACTGTTGAGGGAACTGATAACCAATTTAACACTTGGTTTTGACAGTCTCATCAGGTCCCACCATTGGCTGATATTATATATTTTCTAAACATTAATATTCACAAGTATGTTAATACTTGATTTCATACCATTAAAGTGCAAATGCGTCATTATCTTTCTTTTAGCCACACTTTGGAGTTCAAATAATAAAACCACTGTGAGTTCAATTTTCAAAGCAAAGGATGAATTGCAAAATATATTTTTTTCTGATGAATCAGCTAAAACTTTTTTTAAAACTAGCTCCTGAGTGGCTCTCCGCTTACTCAATTTAAAAAGCTAAGCAGATTTAAACTGGTTAGTTCTGGCAGACATAAATTTTCAGGTCCACATTCCTGATTCACCTTCATTATAAAAGTAGTGCTGTTTGACTTTAATAATATGGCTTGAACTTATAAATATGTGTGAATATATTCTATATTTTGAAATGTATTAGATATTTGCAAATGTATTTTATATTTTTAAAAAACAATTGAGGTAGCATACTTACACTCAACTAAGTTGGGAGATATAAAAAGTAATATTTCTGTTATTTATGATATATTGAATATTTGTGAGTTGAGGAATTACTGGCTATTGGATCTTGGCAGATTGAATTTATTGCTATATGAAAAATGATTGTGTATAATGCATTTCTTCTAGAAAATAAAATTATCTTGATAAGGTTTTAGTAACTATAAAATGGAAATGTGAAAAATGTTAGATGCTTTGATTTTCTTTAAAAATAAATCTAAATAGTTTATTGACTTTTTGACTTTTATTAATTTGTATTTTTCTGGTTCTGGTTTATTTTTCTTCAATAAACATAGCACAATTTAAAAACATGATTTACTGTGTTTTGGGGGGGAGACTTGTTGAGCATTTCTGTTATTGAACCTCATAATGTTATAGACACTTTTGCAAGTGTGTACTTCAGGTTTAATGAAGAAAGCACTGTAATGTAAAGGCCAAGAATCTGTAAAGGTAAATTGCTGGGTTCAGTAGTATTTTTTTATATTGTGCAGTAACATCTCTGGACTAAGATTAAAATTGAATAATTAAGTTTTTAGGTTTTGCTATCCTTAAGAATGTAATATTACTGAATATTGAATTAAATTTAAGCAGAAATTATTAGGCCACATTGTATGTTAATACTAATGTTCTTTAGCATTTTCCCTCTATTTCGCAGACTATCAAGGACTCTGTGATTTTACTAAGATTTGTATATTCTTAAAGTGACTTATAGAAAACAAAATTTCTCAAGTCTTTTGTTTCTCTTTTTTTTCCATAGGGGTACCAAAGTCTGATCTCTTGCATACCAAATCATTAAGGGGCCATAAAGACTGCTTTGAAAAATATCATTTAATTGCAAACCAGGGTTGTCCTCGATCTAAGCTTTCAAAAAGTACTTACGAAGAAGTTAAAACCATTTTGAGTAAGAAGATAAACTGGATTGTACAGTATGCACAAAATAAGGATCTGGATTCAGATTCGGAATGTTCTAAAAACCCCCAGCAGCATCTGTTTAATTTCAGGCATAAGCCAGAAGAAAAATTACTCCCACAGTTTGACTCCCAAGTACCAAAATATTCTGCAAAATGGATAGATGGAAGTGCAGGTGGCATCCCTAACTGTACACAAAGAATTTTGGAGCAGAGGGAAAATACAGACTTTGGACTTGCTATGTTACAAGATTCAGGTGCCACTTTATGTCATAACAGTGTATTGTGGCCTCATAGTCACAACCAGGCACAGAAAAAAGAAGAGACAATCTCTAGTCCAGAGGCTGATGTCCAGACCCAGCATCCACATTACAGCAGAGAGGAATGTAAGTAAAATGGGGAGAAAAGTAACAGTTGGGTGGTTTGGGATTTTTATACATTTATATAAAGATGTAATGGGTCAAGAATTTTGCTGTGGAAACGTAGATTTGGTAACAGATTCACCTTAGCAAAAATGAGGTTTCATTCACTGGAATTCTATCTTCTAAGCATTGAAGTTCAGCAGTTTCCATGTTTGTTTTGCCATATAAAATGATTACACTAAATGGAATCAACAAACTGTGAATTGGAACATCCAGGACTCGTATAGTTTAGAAGTACAGCTTCATCTGTTGGCTAATACACATTGTCATGTTGCTGATCCCTACAAGACTGATGTAGGCATGTGTCTTGTTGACTGGTGGTGGCATTTCAAAAGCAAAAATCTGACATTTTACTAAAGGCCAAAGGTAATGTGTGCACTTACTGTAAAGTTAGAAAGGGTGATTCATTCTCTCTACATCTATTTCTACAAAAATTTACAGAAGCTGAGGTGATTTTAATTGTCTTGAAATCATGATTTCAGAGCCAGAAGGGACCTCTAATATGTTGTTATACAACTTCTTGATTCTAAATGTGAATTATTTAAGATTGTATATCTAGATAGACAAATTGATGTTTCAAACTGCATATTATAAGCTGTGTAATGCTTAATCAAAATAAGCTTAATGGGTAGTGACTTAACACTTTTTAAAAACTGAAACAGAATAGGAGATACCAGAATTCATTGGACCTACTACTAAGTATTTTTTGGTGAAACTTTTGTTTCATTGGAGGGTGGTGGTGTACTGGGAGTGATTTAAAAAATATGTTTCTGGCCAGGCACAGTGGCTGACACCTATAATCCCAGCACTTTGGGAGGCCAAGGTGCGAGGATCACTGGAGCCCAGGAGTTCAAGACCAACCTAGACAACATAGCAAGACCCCATCTCTACAAAAAATAAAAAAATGAGGTGTGGTGGCACACGTCTATGGTTCCAGCTTCTAGGGAGGCTGAGGTGGGAGCAATCACTTGAGCCCAGGAGGTTGAGGCAACAGTGAGCCATTGATCACACCACTGCCCTCCCAACGGGGTGACAGAGCGAGACCCTGTCTCAAGACAGAATAAAAATAAAAGTTTCTTACCATGGGTTGTGGTCAGGGTTTGAAAACGTCTCCTCCACACTTGAGAGCATTAATGGTTGAATGCTGGAGTACTGCTGAATGTTGTGTTGACAGTTAAGTGCAGATTTTAAAAAATAGGATATTGTGTTGGTGATGTAAGCTGCATGTTTTCCTAGGTTGTTGTGGTAATAGTGAATACATTTTCATGTTTCAGTGAATTCGATGACTCTTGGTGAGGTAGAACAACTGAATGCAAAGCTCCTCCAGCAAATCCAGGGTAAGAATCACTCTCACTGCTTTTTTGTGTGTGAAAAATTTTGACATAGAAAATCACCTACGATAAGACACCATTGGCTTTATCTACCTTTAAATTTGGAAATGAGATATTCAAACCTGTTAGAATTTCCAGAGCAGAAAGAATAAGAAACAAACAACTTTCAATTGCAGAGGAAATACATTTTTCTTTTAGTTTCTTTCTTTTTTTTTTTTTTTTTTTTTTACAGAATCTTGCTTTATCACACTGGTTGGAATGCAGTGGTGATCCTCCCAAGTAGCTGGGTCTTACTGTCATGTGCACCATTACACCCAGCTAATTTTCTATTTTTTATAGGGGTGGGGTCTCACCATGTTACCCAGGCTGATCTCGAGATCCTGGGCTCAAACAGCCCTCCTGCCTCAACTTCCCAAAGAGCTGGCATTACAGGTGTGAGCCACTGCACCCGGCCACATTTTTCTTTTCTAAGTGAAAATGGAAACTACAACCTCTTACTAACATTTTATTGACTACCCACGATTGCACCAGGCACTGTGTGGGAGTGCTCCCAAACAGTTCTTTAAGGCATGTGATATTAGTCTTTTTTGTTAAATTATAAACAATTTCAAACATATATAAAAGTAGTGAGACTAGCATAGTGAACCCCTTAAGCCATCTTCACCAACTTCAACTGTTATCAAAGGCATAATAATAATCATCTCTACTTGCATCCATTCCCATTGCATTACCCATAGCATGGATTATTTTCAGCCAAATCCCAGCTAACACATTCGTTTTTGTCCATAGATTAGGATTTCTTCTAAAAGATAACTTTTTAAAAAACAGTCACAATCTCATTATCACACAATTTAAATTAATAATTCCTTAACATCATCAAGTCTGATGCTAACACTTAACAATTAATGTTCAGATTCCCCAATTGTCTCCTTTTCAGTTTATTTCCTTTTAGATGAGAAAATTGTACTTCAGAGATGTTAAGTTGCTTACAGAGATCATGCATGCAATCAGTAGCAGATCAAGGATTTAAACTCCAAAGCTTAACCACACAGCCTCTCAGAATAATAAAAATAATCGCAGTAATAGTTGTAGAAATTTATGAGTGCTTTACAAATATGATCTCATTTAAGTTTTACAGTAGCCTGGTGAAGTGCTTACTGTCATTATTAATGTTACACAGGAAAGGAAACTGAAACCAAAAGTTGCTTGCCTGAGGCATGTAAGAGTAGGAACAAGGATTCAAAACTCCTGGTAGTCTGATTCCAAAGCCTCTTAGAGGGGATTCCAGACCTGAATACTAATGGGCACTTCTTGTCCGTAAATCACATTATATACTGATTGAATCTGTTTATAGATTCTAATTGAGAAAAGTGGCTCAGCTACAGTAGCAGCCACCATGTTCGCTGTGCATCTCTGGAGTCATTGCTATGATTCCAATTTCACTTGATGGAGAAAAGCCAAATTCCACTTGGCTATGTACAGTATACGATGCCTAGGATGATCAGAACTGACATGCTTCGTAGAGAACACAAGTGTTTCCTTGGTATCAAATCAGTTTCATTGTGACACTTTGCCCAATGCATAGATTTCAGTTAGAGTTCTTGAAATATAAATCATAGCACTGGCTTTCTGCATGCTACAAATGAAAGTTTTTCAATCTTTTACAGAAGTTTTTGAAGAGTTAACACACCAAGTGCAAGAAAAAGATTCTTTGGCCTCACAGCTCCATGTCCGCCACGTTGCCATCGAACAGCTTCTGAAGAACTATTCTAAGTTACCATGTCTGCAAGTAGGGCGAACAGGAATGAAGTCACACCTACCCATAAACAACTGACCTGAACAGACTTACTTAGTATGCCCTGCCCTTTATTGGTCTCCCAGACATGCAGACTTCAAAGAAGTTTGAAGAAAGTCCTGGTCCATTTTTTTATGGTCATTAAATTTGCCAAACATAAGGCAGTATTAGACATCTTTTTCAAATAAAGCAGATCATTATACTCTAGTCTTCTGGGGCTAATCATTTTGGCTCATTTGGGGACTCTTTTTTCCCATAATTACTAAAATTTTATCACATGTGACTACTTAAATACACTGTTAGAGTGTCATTTTATTAAACATTTTAATGTAATTCACCTGTCGAAACAACAGATTAACAAACTCCTTAAACTACTAAAGATAATTTTTAAGAGGGAAATGGAATTCATATCACCTCTTATTTATTATGAGCAATATTTTAATATAAAAATTTTATATGTAAAAATGCTATTTTAGGTACTTGCCATTCTCTTTATAATTGTATATTTGAGTGGTTCTGTATATTTATTTACACTATCATGTGTGAATATGTTCACCCATATTTCAGGTCACTGCATTTTACTCTTTTAATACAGTGTTTTTACAACAGTTACCTTGCTTTCCAAAGATAAATGTATTTTGGATTAGAAATCTATTTAGTTGAGTTGTTTTAATTTCTAATAACTCTTAAAAAGAGGAATTAGTAACTTTTTAAAGCAGTATTCAAGTAAATAAAATACATTATTTTGTTTTCTAACAAAAGCAGTTACTCGGGAAGAAAAGACTAACCTGGCTTCTCTGTCAATTTGTCTCCATGGAAATGAAAGCCTCCTCTGCTTCTTTCATTATTAGCTTCACACCAATGACCGATGCATTAGAATTTGGACAGAGTAAGTCAAGCCTCACTTCCAATTCAAATATAATATCTATCTTCAAATTGAATGTGCTGTGAAATTGTTCTGTCTTTGAAAAGAAAGTGAGGTTATTTTGTGTGCCACAAAGTTTCAAGAATACTTAAACTGTCCAAATTGTATTATCACCATCATTGAACTTAGTGCTCAAAAACGTTGTGAGGTATTTTTCTAAACTTTATAGAGAAAAACAGGATTACTTGACAGAAGAAAAGCAAAACTCCTAATTAAAAAAATATAAGCCTATATATAGAATGTTCTCGTAAGTTGCCTATGATGCTTCCAAAGAGTTTTTATCTAACAGATTGTCCCAAACAGCTAGATAAGTTTTAATAATGTATTATAGTAAAAGCTATAACCAATGCAGAATTAAAATGGGCTCTAAATTCTGTTTTTAACTCATGTTTAGAATGTATATATGAGGTAGATCCTTGCTTGAAAGTATCTACAGAAAAGCCCAGTAACTTGGCAGCTTCATGCATAAAGATATAAATGACATTTGCCTTAAATTTGGCAGCCTACCCTGGCTTGGGTCAGATTTTATTCTTAAACACAAAAAAAGTATTTAAGCAAACACTTAAATCTAATTGAAAACAACTTTTTGTAATGCTAACGTGTTAAATTGGCCTGAAAGTATTAATTGATATCCATTGATTTTTGTTTTGTTTTTCTTTGAAGTATAACATTACTTTTTGGGGGAATTTTTGAAAGATGCTTTTGATTTCTCTCAATTCTTTAAGTCATGCAAAATGAATTTAAAATCCAGGGAGTATGGATGCATTGCCTTAGTTTTGATGAGCTTTAAATTAAATGTGTGCAATATCAAAATATTCAAACTTACAAGTTGGGTAAATACATTTCCTGATTATGCCAGTATCTTAGTGCTTAATTGTTCCCACATTTTCAAATTTGACTTTACTCTTTTCTGGCGTAATTCAGTAAGATGGTTACCAGCCAGTGTGTTTGCGCACATTTGGGTTTGTGTTTAGATGAGTTAGGGACAGTGATAAAAGTTGGGGATATGTTGCATTTGATATCAGTAGTAGCATATTTCCAGAATATGAGCCATAAGTTGCAGTCCTGAATGCTACAGTGTTATCCAAAGAAAGGAGTTTTCTGACAAATACATAGCTTTACTAATGAGTACGGAACAAGTGGATAAGAGTGTGCATGTACTAAGGTCTTAAGTGGGGACTCTGATTTATTGCATTTAGATATTTCTACTTAAGCTCTTCAAAGGAGAGGTGCTCTTAAAAAAAACTTTGTGGTGCTGGTACTCACACTACTTTATTTGGATGAGTTCCTAGTGAAAAAAAATTGTTTGAAGTATTTTGCACAGCAGTTTATCCAAATATTTGGTAAACTTATAATTTAGTCCTATGTTTTCTTAATTGAATATGCAGTTACTGTGTATGCAAATATAAGTATCAGGTACAGAGTTGAGTTCTAACAAGAGAACATGAAATATCACATATTGTTTTCCATACTTGGCTGTTCTCTACTGTTGTTAGTAATTTTTGAGGATGTTTCGAAGCATATCTCATGTACTACTGTTTAAAAAGTGGCAAACCAGACTGCCAGTCATTCATTACTAAATTTTCAGAGCTTATGTGAGATAAGACTAATCGTTTTCATGTTCAGTTTTACAATTTGACAAGTTAAATTGAGTTTTAAAAATCAGAAAAGTGTTTTTGACCACACAGATTCTCTTTAAAGTTTTAAATCAGTTCAGCCTTATAATTAAGCTAAAAATCAATTATGTTTACTCTGAGATTATCATCTTATCCTTTGATCCTCATATTAATATCTAAATTAGTCTTTTTTAAAAGGCATACACTTGAGTGTCCAGTAATAGATGATTCAGGCAGCAGAATAGTGTTTTGTTGTGTCGTTTACTATGAATAGTGGTAGAGCAAAGACACGTTCTTAGGTTTTCAAAATACATGTTCATTTTACCACAAAATGCCCATTTTTATATACGTTTAAGGATTATTTTTTCAATGTCAACTTCATGTTAGAAAGTGATTTCAGAAATATAGTCAAAATATATAGTCAAATATATCTTGACAGGCATCTTGAGATACGGATTTTCATTTTACCATCTTTTTTGTTTGTTTTTGTTTTGAGACAGTCTCGCTCTGTTGCCCAGGCTGGAGTGCAGTGGCGCAATCTCAGCTCACTGCAAGCTCTGCCTCCTGGGTTCACGCCATTCTTCTGCCTCAGCCTCCCAAGTAACTGGGACTACAGGCGCCCACCACCACGCCCAGCTAATTTCTTTTTGTATTTTTAGTAGAGATGGGGTTTCACTGTGTTAACCAGGATGGTCTCGATCTCCTGACCTTGTGATCCGCCCGCCTCGGCCTCCCAAAGTGCTTGGATTACAGGTGTGAGCCCTTGCGCCCAGCCATTTTACCATATTCTTTATGACTGAAAATGGTTTTGTGTTTTATGTTGTTTATGTTTTTTTTACCTTAGTGTTTACACTGGTAAGGCTTGTTAGTACATTTTTGTGGTTTTTTTAAAGTAAGCTTTTAGATCTATTTGTGTTTTAATGTTTCCCAGTTTGGGTTTTGTTTTGTTCTGGAAGAATCTGCTTTCGTTATTAAATTATAAAATGTAACATGTAAATGCTCTAAAGTAGGGATTTTTAAAGAGTAAATTATTTGTGTAGCTTAATTGGAGGTTCAGGTTAGTGACCATAAAGTGGGTTACTTGTACATGAAAATTTTAAATGGTACCATGTAAAATTCTTGTATTGTCACTTTTTCTGACTTGTGCCAGTTCATTTACTGACAAATGTTGTTACTAAGAGCTTATTAAGAAGTGTAATACGCTATAAAAAATGTTAATACTTTTTGTTCAGATGTAAAGCAAAGATAATTGATATCATTTCAGTGTGTGATTGTATTTTTAACTTTAGGTTGGTAGGAGTAATTATTTCAGGAAATTTGTGGTGAAAATTCGTAAGACATAAAAGCCTCAACAGTTTATTCTTACCAAGTAAAGTTTTGTGGTCATGGGGCAGGGAAGAGTTTATTTACCGGAATACTAGAGCCCTCACACGAAATAAAGGTAACTTGGAGGAGGGTTATAATGCTTGCATCTCAGGATTTTATTTCACTTCATCCTTTCAGAATTGCCCTTATTATGGTACAGTCTAACCTATTAAGCAACTTCTGGCTATGGTAACATTGATATGAACCATATTATGTCAAGTCTCCAAAAATACCTAGTTTGTAACATATGCTTTCCCTGTTCTTTTTAGTTGGAGTCCACATTACTAATACATTTTAATAATATTTAATTATTTCACAGTTTTAAGTTTACTAAAGTAAACAAACAAAAAATCATGAAGATAAGTATTGCCCTCCCCCAAAAAAGGTTTCAAGATTAGTTGAACTTCCCTCAACTACACCTAAATAAAGCAAAGGGGAATTTTAGTAAGTGTGTACCTTGTCTCTTTCAGACACATCTAGAATGTTTTTCTTTCACCGTACCTCCAAAAGAGGCAGTTTAGAAAGTATTAAGTAGTAACTTTTGTTCAATTCCATTTTGTGTGTGTGTTTGTGTGTGTGTGTGTGTGTGTTAACCTTACTTTAAAACAGTAGCATATACTATGGTCATTGAACTTAATCTCCCTGGTGTTAGAAATTTACTTTACAAAATTGTGTTAAGACTTGGAAAAACAAAATGAAACTGCTGTGGTAAAAACCAAGTTCGTTTCAGAAAAGTATTGACAATTATTTGGCTGTTATATTTTCTTTGAAAACTGCAATAATTTATATATTTGTATTGCTCTGCTTTGGAACTGTATATATGCTTGTCTACTATTTTTAATTTTACAACAATAAAATAAGTATTTTGTTATCTGCTAGCTTGAGTGAATGTTTTTAAAAGTAGCTATTTTTTTTAAATGGTGGGTCTATATGAAGGGTTTTGCTTTGCAGGTTTAGGGAGTCTATACTTAGAATGATGTTATCTGACAATTTCTTAATTTCTTGTAACAATCTTAACTTAGCTTTGATACTTAATATTTTCTGTCTCCCAACAATACAGAAGCAGGAAATAAGATGCCTGTGACTTACTAGATGTCTATGCAATTTTTTTTAATTGGGGTGTAATTTATATACAGTAAGCACACAGGCATTTTACTGTATCGTTTGAGTTTTAACAAATGTATGCAACTGTAGAGCCATCACTCCCTTTGGGTCCCTTCACGGTCACTTCACTTTCCATTTTCCTTCCACTGATTGTTCTGATCCTTTTTTGAGATGGAGTGGAGTCTCTCTCTGTTGCCCAGGCTGGAGTGCAGTGACATGATTTCAACTCACTGCAACCTCCACCTCCTGGATTCAAGCGATTCTCGTGCCTCAGCCTCCTGAGTAGCTGGGATTACAGGTGCACACCACCACGCCTGGCTAATTTTTGCGTTTTTAGTAGAGACAGGGTTTTGCCTTGTTGCCCAGGCTGGTCTTGAA